TGAAACTCCCCAAAATGCTATACTTGTTAAAATCAACATTTTTTTTTTCCTGAAACCAAGTATGAGATAACAGTTACTCGATCTCATTAGGCCAGAAAGCTTTCACATGCAAGTTTGGCTCTTACTGCGAAGTTACATAAGCCTACCCATTCATAACCCACCAATACCTTTCCTCTCGAAGCCTCCCTTAAAGACGTAGCTCCTCCGCCTCCAGCTGTTGTACCTGGAGTGGGCGCAGTTCAAGAAGTGGTACAAGACCCAGCCTCTGCACGTCATCCGGCGTTACTTCGGCGACAAAATGGCGATGTACTTCGCTTGGCTCGGCTTCTACACGCAGATGCTCATCCCGGCTTCGCTCTTCGGGATTTTTACCTTCACTTGCGGCGTCTTCATCATGTTCTCGGATTTTAACCAGCCGAGGTAACGGGTTCGTTTGGGGGGCGTCAAGTATCTTCATCTCTTATCTTTTATCATTTTTTGGAGGGGGAGGGGGTGAGAGTATTGTTTGAATAAATCTAGAAATGGGGGGTCAGTATTGTCTGATGAAAATAATTATTTTTTGTCACTAGAACTAGAATAATAGAAAAAAACTGAAATCTCTTCTAGTTTTCATTATTCAAGGAAAATGGCTTTTAATAACGTCTTATTCCCTTCCTGTCGGCACCCATTAGCGAGGAGATCTGCAGCAACACCTCAGACACCAGTTCCATCATCATGTGTCCGCTGTGTGACCGCCTCTGCGACTTCTGGAAGCTGGGCGACAGCTGTGCGAACGCCTACATCACCTTCCTGTTCGACAACCCCGCCACAGTCTTCTTCTCCATCGCTATGTCCTTCTGGGGTGAGTTTTTCCTCGGGGTTTTCATTCTCATCATTCGCAAGAGAAAAGAAGAAAAATACTTTATTTTTTTTATTTTCTTTATTTATTATTATTTTTTTTTGAGGGGGGTGGGGGTCTGTATTTTTTGGGTTTTAGCTTCCGTGTCTTTTTCGTTTTTGTTTTATGGTTTTCTTGGTAGTTTATGCGTTGTTGAACTGATCATTGTTGTTCCTCGTTTTCCGTCAGCATTATTTCCTATGCATCTGTGCCAAACTCCCCGTTTTTTTTTTTTGTGTGTGTGTGTCTGTTTCACAACTTTATCAGCATCTTATCGAAGCGATCTTTCCCTCCCCCTAGCGACCATGTTCCTGGAACTCTGGAAGCGGAAGCAGTCGGTGATCCAGTGGCAGTGGGACCTCGAGAACTACGAGGAGGAGGAGGAGCTGCGGCCCGAGTACGAGGAGAAGGTCACCACGACGAGGATCAACCCGGTGACCAACAAACCCGAGCCTTACATGCCCCTCATGGACAAGATCTCGCGCTACGTCGCCTCCTATTCGGTCATTCTCGTGATGGTCTACTTTTTGAGGACATTTGATTTCGATGGAAGAACGTTTTAACACTGTTACTGGAAATCATTAAAAAATACCTCTCTGATATATTCAATTTCATATTATTACTTATCAAATTTTTTCTTCTACATCTTAAATACCTACAGGACATATTATATGGAAGAAGTACTTATTGTATTCACTTTCCCTGAAACTCACTTAAAAATAGCTACAGACGATACTCACACTTCGCTTCAGGACATATCACATAAAAGAAATACTCATCGCATTCGCTTCTTCCTGAAACTCTTCTAAAATTCTCTTTCGAAGATACGTACTTCGCTTCAGGACATATCATACGACAAAGAATCCTTACAGCCGATTTCTTCCTGAAATTCTTTCAAATTTCCCTCCCGAAAGATACTGACAAAAGAAGTCCTTCATATCCTTCCTGAAACTCCTTCAAAAATACCTCCAGACGATACTCTCCCACTTCGCCTCAGGACATATCACACGAAAGACGTCCCTCCCAAAGATACTAACCACGCGCTTCTCGTTCGTCAGCTGTTCGTGATGTTGGCTTCGGTCTTCAGCGTGATCGTCTACCGGATAGCGGTCGGCCTCGCGATCTACCAGACGGACTCCGACTTCATCCGACGCAACGCCAAGCTGGCCACCTCCGTCACCGCCGCCTTCATCAACCTCGTGCTCATCATCATGTTCAATTTCGTGAGTTCTGTGGATTCTCTTTCGTTTGTCTCTGTTTTCTATCTGGGTTCTCTTTGGTGTCTCTTTGTACTCTTATTTTTTGTTCTTTTGATGTTCTTTTGTTCTTTTTCCGGTTTCTTTTTGGTGTCTATTTGTTTTCTTTTCGGCTTCTCTTTTATTTCTTTTTGTTCTCTTTCCAGTTTCTCTTCGATGTCTCTTTATACCCATTTCGGTTTCTCTTTGTTGTCCTTCTGTTTTCTTTTTGGTTTCTCTTTGACATCTCTTTTGTAATTCCGATTTCTCTTTGGTGTCTCTTTGTATTCTTCCCGGTTTCTCTTTGATGTCTCTTTCCGGTTCTTCTGTTCTCCTCAGCCTTTTCTGAAACCACTTTCAGTCTCTAGTACTTCCATTTTTTCCCGTCTATTACTTTTTGATCTACTGCTTTTGTAATAGGATTCACTGTAAGGAGGACTTGTAGTCTCCAATTCCATTTTCATCGTTACCTTCCTTTTACAATGATCTCTGCTATTCACTTATAATCTCTGTGCTAATAACTACATTTTCTGCACTGACACATCCTACACTACTTGTTTTTTCTATTCTACTCTAATGTTTCATAATGAACACTTCTGATAACGTCTAATAACCTTCTAAATTCCAGGTTTGATAATGCCTCTAAATAGCCCTCTAACTTCCACGTCTTTTAATGAACTTCTAAATTCCAGGCTTACGAATTCCTCTAAATAGCCTTATAACTTGCAAGTCTTTTAATGAACTTCTAAATTCTAGGTCTACGAGAAGTTGGTTGCGTGGCTCACCAGCCTGGAGGTTCCGCGGACTGAGACGGAGTACGAGGATTCCTTCACTCTCAAGATGTTCATTTTCCAGTTCATCAATTACTACGCTTCGCTCATCTACATCGCATTCTTTAAGGTACGGTTCCATGCTTGATAGAGGACGTCTTTCATCTTCATCAAAAGCTCTTCTTTTAAGCTAATTTATAGATTGCATTGCTCTAAATTGGCCTTTGGAATTAGGAAATAATATAAAAAGGGAAACAATAATTGCAATATCAGGTCCCATGTCGCGGCTACAAAGGCCCAATCTCCCAATCTTGGGAGAGACTGTCAAAATATATTCATGGAAGCGTCAATACATTTCATCAAATTCACATTGAGAAGACATATTGAGTAAAGTTGATACACCAATAAAATATTTCCATAACAATTTAAATAACCCCTCAAGAGAAAGCTTTTGCAAGATTAACCCCGGTAAAATTGCAAGTAAAAAGACGACAACACAGCCAACCTCTCCCCCAGGGTCGCTTCTTGTACCACCCCGGAGACATAGAAGTCAGAAGGAACATATTCGCAAAGGCACGTTACGACATGTGCGACTCTGCCGGGTGCTTCTTCGACCTGTGCGTCCAGCTCATCATCATCATGCTGGGAAAGCAATTCTTCAACAACATTATCGAAATATTTTGGCCGTGAGTAAGAGTGGAATAATCAATGCACCAATAACGTCGACTTTTTTGCCGTTTTCTGCTTTCGAAAGCTGTAAAAATGTCTGTGAATCTTGGAATTTCTTAAGTTGGCGTTACAATTCTTCCCTTCCACCTTCCTTTTTGCCGTTTTCTACTTTCGATGGCTGTAAAAACGCCTGTGAATCTTGGAATTTCTTAAGTTGGCGTTACAGTTCTTCTCTCTCACCTCCCGTAGGATCCTGCGCGTGTGGTGGAACAAGCGAACGGGCCACGACAACCATCTCAGCGAAGCCTACACGCGCTGGGAGCAGGACTACGACCTCGCTCCGTACACCAGGCTCTCCCTCTTCAACGAATACCTCGAGATGGGTCAGCGCGGTTCTCTCTGTTATCTCTGCATATCTTTTGTCTAATTTATTTATTTAGCTTTGGAGTTAGACGTTCTTGAAAAGTCAGAGAGGCAGTGATTTTAAAAACGTCAGTCCGATCCCACGAACCAATAGGCGTAGATCTATACAAGTACGTGTCTGTAATTTAGCTGAATCTACGCCAATGCCCTTACCTTACTGAGCATATATTATCCATTTCCCATATGTATAAAAAACAGACGAATTGCACACGCCAGCGATTCATCGAATAAACAAAAGCGAAACAATACGACTTTTCAGGTCAGAATCACCGAGAAAAAAAAAACGTTAGGTATTCCTCTGATTGTGAAAAAATGGTCTGGATATGACGCTGGTCAGAGCATGTAATTAAGGATTCAGACTTTAAAATTATTTCGAAACTCATTCTGTTTTTTTTTTTCTTTCGTGGCAGTGATCCAATACGGTTTCGTGACGATGTTCGTGGCCGCCTTCCCTCTGGCTCCCTTCTTCGCCCTCATCAATAACTTCATCGAGATCCGCCTGGACGCCTTCAAGTACCTCACCCAGTGCCGTCGGCCGCGCGCTGAGAGGATCCAGGACATCGGGATCTGGTACTCGATCCTCAAGGGCATCACCTACTTCTCTGTCGTCACGAACGTAAGTCTCCGTCGAGTTCGCGAGGACCTTAAGTTCTGCGGGAACTTTTGGCGACGTACTTTGTCTCTGTTATTGCCATTTAGCATAATATTTAATAAAATATCTTATTTTAGAGTAACGTTTCTTTAGATAGATTTCTCTGATATCTTTGTATTGTTTTCTGACAGGCTTTGGTTATTTCCTACACGAGCGATTTCATCCCGCGACTCGTGTACATGTACCAGTATTCGAACAGCAACAACCTGGTGGGATACGTCAAAAGCAGTCTTTCGGGTAGGATTCGGGGTTTCTTTCGGTGTTTTTGTGTCATCTGTATTTTTGTTTTCTGTTTCAAATTCGTTAGCGCAGGGGAGACCCACGCGTATACAGATACCCACACACGAGCTCTCATAAACACGCCCATACACAAACACCCGCGCGCACAACACACACACACACACACACACACACACACACAACCCCATCATCCCCATCCACACCCATACCCCACCCACCCACCCACCACCACCCCTAAAACTACCCCAAACAAAAACAAAGAAGCAAACCCATTAACCCTTCTCCTCCTCCCTCAGCGTTCAACACGTCGCAGTACACGAACGAGATGGGCCCCGAGAACCGCACGGGCTGGCCGGAACTGTGCTACTACAAGGCGTATCGCAACGGACCGGCGGACGAGAACCCTTACGACCTCAACCAGCAGTTCTGGCACGTGGCTGCTGCTCGTCTGGCCTTCATTATCATCTTTGAGGTAAAAGGCTTACGTGTCTGAGTACGTTGGAGTGAAGGAGGGAGACTCGCAGCTAATATTTGAGGGAAAAGGTCTGGAGTGAAGGAGGGAGACACAGCTAATATTTGAGGAAAAGGTCAGGGTGGAGTGAAGGGACACTCACAGCTAATATTTGAGGGAAAAGGTCAGGGTGGAGTGAAGGAGGGAGACACAGCTAATATTTGAGGAAAAGGCCTGGTGTCTGAGTACGTTGGAGTGAAGAAGGGAGACACACAGCTAATATCTGAAGGAAAAGGGGTGCGTCTGTGTACGTCGGAGTTAAGAAGGGTAACTGGAATCCTGATGACAATAGGAATGATGATGAGTGTGCTGTGTGTGTTGTTTTTAGAGAGTGGTGAGTGATAGTACTATAAATACCGGAACTAAATTTGTTGAGGAATATAATGTTATAGTGTTTATAGATAATCAATGTAATTTTTCAAGAGTGTTTATATCACCTCACCTTAGCCAACAAAATATGAAAAAAGTAATGTGCTTTGAAAGTACACTCCACCGATTTCATCTTTTTCGTCAGACTTTCAAGTATATCTCAGAGAGGGAATGTGAAATCACAGCCTCCAAGAAGCGCACCAACTGAACCTTTAGCTGAACCTTTCTCTTTTTCCCCGCCACCAGCACATCGTGTTCTGCCTGACGAGCGCCGTCGCCATGTCCATCCCAGACATCCCCGTCGAGGTGAAGAACCAGATGCTGAGAGAGAAGAAGGTATGGGAGATCTTGCGAGGCGGGAGATGGCGGTACTTTGTATTTTTTGAGAATATGGAAGTGATGCTGGGTTTTCTTGGATTCTGGGACGATTCTTCAGGTTGAATGGTTGCTTGTATTTGGAATTTAGTTTTGACGTCTGAGTTTAATCTGTTTAAATAACGTCCCGTCAATTGCATGTTCTTCATTGCAACGAAGCTCATGGGTTTTCTTGTATTCTTTTTTTTTTTTACACTAATTAACAGGTCTTCAGGCTCTTGTGACGTCGAGTTTATCATTTGCAAAAGTACTCCAGGCAGAGATGAACATACTTTCAAAGCAACTCATATTGATTTAGATTTATAACTCTATATTCTCCATAGTTTGGTTAATCAGCTAAGCGACCGTTTCTCCCCACCTTGTCCTCGCACGAACAGGTCGAGAAGGAGACGCTGTTCGAGAACGAGATGAAGAAGATCCGACAAGAGCGACAGGTGCGGCACGAGCGCGTGAGTTCGCCCGAGGACGACAACATGGACATCGACCTGGGCGAGGGGCTCCAGACGCGGCGGAACTCCCGCGTCGCCACGCCCACTTTGACTCCAGGGCTATTCCACGACCACCACGCATAGCAGAGATCACCCTGAACACCATCCGTGTAGGCACTTTTCTTGCATGTAGCTGGTTGCGGTAGGAAGGAGTACGAGATTCAAGCACCATTGTTGCGCAGGTTCCAAGCTAGGCATGCAGAGGCAAGGGTTATATAAGTACTTACATAGACCTTGAGCGGAGGGGCTGAGACTGCCGGGTGACCCTTAAGGAAGAGGAAAAGCATTTCGATGCCGGGCCTCAGGTAGGGTTGCCTTGTGCCTCCTAAGAAAGCTCATTGCGTGTAGTCTACTTCAGAAGTAGATTGATGTGAAAAAATGACATGAAGCTCTCCGTCCCAGTGCCGATGTTTGAATATATTTTTATTCGGTGGTTTGCACTATGTCAGGTTTTCTGGCCGAAGTCTTCCCGATTTTAGACACCTTATTGTTGTAAGCCATACGATAATATTACTGTAGACCTATTTTGTGAGGCAGGAGAATTATATTGCAGAAAAATTAAAGAAAAACAAATATATGACAAAAATAGCAAATTAACCCTTCAACCAAAGATAGCAAATAAGTACCCGTCCAAATTTTATAATGTAACTATTCACCATTTTTGTGAGCACACTGAACATTTACCTCACCAAAACTTCATTTTATATAGAGAGCATTTTTGTAACACATGTTCCTCTAAATGTAAATTGCAGGAGAAATCCTTTGTAAACGTCAGTGCTGTTTGCTATCTTATTTCAGCATGGATTTTAAAGACAATATAGACAAAGATTTTCGTATTTGTGTATATGTAAATGTGTGTGAGTGTGTGTTAGTTTGGGGGTATATGTGTACATGTGCATGCTGTGTTAAACATGTATTCATTAAAGATATCTGTTTCCTTATTCGTTCACTTTAGATGGAAGTGTGATAAATACATGTTATGAGAGAAGTCTGCATTTTATACAATATGATGACTGAACACTACATTGAATCAGTGCCCCTCTCTAGAAGTTTTCAGATTATGGGCATTCGGCTAACAAGTGCCCCTTTGCTATATCAAATTTTCACTTGACTGGACTCACTCCACTTCATATCAAAACAAAGAACCTGTACAATAGGAAGGGAATATAATAACTGATTCCTCTCCCTACATGGTTACCATCTCAACTATTTGATAATGATAACGAAGATGAGAAATACGAGCTTACTATGTTATAAGTTTCATTGACAGTGCTGAACGTACAAGTGAATTTTAGTTCCCGAGTTTTCTTTGAGAATAAGTAGAGCCGCAATGTATATTAACTTTTTGATATGGTAAGGTTTTGAGATCTACAGGTCTGCCATTCTAGATTACTCAGCTAATTTCCGAGGAAATAGTTATATAAGTTTATTTTCATAAATAAAGAAAAGAATAAATGAGAATTAATAATTTTATTCTTAAAAGAATGCAACTGATATCTTTCATGTCTTGATCTATGATATTCTGATGAGGACTTCATCAAAATGCGGCAACTACATCTGGTTTGCAAAGGTCTTTCTCATTGCTACTTTTTCTAAAAAAATCATACAGCTATTATGATGAACTACTCATTATTGCCCAAACCTGAATGATAGTAAGTAAGATTTACATGTAGGATAAGTTCTCTTATTATTGTTGTTGTTTGTTGATACTCTATATGTAAAGTGATTAAAATGTCAACTTAATAACAGACTGAATGAATTGAGAATGTTTCTCGTATGTCATATCATTAGACTACATTTTCTTCACAATGGTAAGTTCTTCACACTATCTTAATCACAGACTTGCACTTATGTTGTCATTACACAGTCATTGTGATCCAGCCTGCAATATATGTGGTGTATGAATGTGTTTAACAAATGCTTTACCTGGATTTTACTCCAGAAAACTATCTGTGATACATAGTTAAAAGTAAATCTTGGGGAATGCTTTTATACTAATTTTCTTGAAAATCTAACAATACATACTTTCATAACTAAGAATGTGGGTAAATACAAAAACACTGGCATTCTCACAATGTACACTTCTTCACTTACAAAAAAATATAAAGTGATTCCCTGGAATATTGTATTTTCAAACTACAAAAATCTTTCACACTTGCCCATGTGAGCATACAGTTGTCACATATTTTTTTTTTTACCACTACTTCAATTCTTATCAATATGCCTCAAATCGGGTTGGGCAACCAGGCAGTATCCAAGACCCAGGTGAATCTAGGGGCACAATCTACTCTGTCTTTTAATGCCTTATATGGTTGTTCTTCGTCACTCAATTTGCCCTTGATTAGTCCACTTCTGCTGCCCATAAAAATTCTGCATTTTTCAATTATATGTATATGAGCCTATCCCACATCTTTATATTTAATTTTGAATGTTCCAGTTTTGGGGAAAAATAAGTAAATGTTTTGTTTCTGTGTAATAGCTCTTTCATGCACTTTGTATTCATTATATTTAGTACTAACTGATAAAGCAATAGCTTAATTTGGCATTTTTTCTTATTGTTACATTTCTTTTGGATTTTTTCCCTCTTCCTCTTTATCTATCCTTTTAATAACCATGAGAAATATTGTATACACTTCCTTGGAATGTGCATAATAATCACAGATCAGAACTGAAGGTTATATTGTTTTTTTTTCTTCTTTTTTTGTCAAAATATACAATTATATAGTACAAATTAATATATTCATAAGCATTTTCCCAATGCATTCTGCAATTTTTACTGCTATATGTACCTTATTAAGGTTATATCTATGATCATATTGTTTCTAAACTATTTTACTCATGTGTGTTCATGTGAACATTGTGATAAAGTAATTTCAGAATTTATATTGCAACATGATTTTGATGTATCAATTAATATGAACCACACTTTATACCTAGTATAGTCCATTACCCTTCTAATAAAAAATATACACATCATTATTGTTAATCCAAACATTGTAACTATGGAATATTTCATCAAACTTCAATAACTTAACACCAAATTAAAAAAGAAATCAAAATAAATGTATAACCTGACTTGCTTACGTGAACAGTAAATACAAATAAACAACTTTTTCCTCAGGTATTCAGTTTTCATCCATTTAACTCAAAACAAAAATCACCCTTTTGGGGGGAATAGAAATAGATTAATTATGCCAATAGCAAACACTATAAGTTGTTACCAAAGTCATGAAATGAAGGCCTGAAATGTATGCTTTGGATTTAGTGCAAGAATTAAAATAGATAATCAAAAAAACTCTTTGATGAAATACTCATAGATATATACTGTTTCTGCTAAAAAAGGCAGGCTGTTGTTTTGCAAAGCAAATATTAATTTTACTGCATAGTACTTTGAGAGACTTAAAACTGTGTCAAAGTTATCACCATTAGAAAATAAAGAAGTTAGAATAAGTCACCCAAATGCCAAATGATGTATCTTTCATGACTTCTTAATGTTATTGATGTCTTCTCACTTTGTGTAATCCATTGTAAAGTATTAATAAATGTTTGCATTTTTAAAGGGTATTTTCCCTGTTGCTCTTGTCATCCTTTTGTAAAAACAAAAAATGTAGTATGCTTGAGAATGTGCTTGGGGTTATAGGTAGGCATGAGAGTATCAGTGTAGATGCGTCAGGTAATAATATTATCTGATGGCTCAAATTATGTGCTTGGTTTGTTTGTGTATAAGCCTAAAGTAAGAAGTTAATGAATTTAAGGATGAAATGAATGGATTAGTGCAAATGTTGTTTCTTGGACTATCTTCTGCAAATTAGCACTCAAATCTTCATAAAATACACACAGGATTTAGGTGAATCATTAGGGGACAATTTCTAAATGCAGGATGCACAAGTGTTCTTTATGTTTTCAGGAATACAATGATAACTTCAAGCATTCCGTCAAGCTAGAACTCTATTATTTCAGTCTTTTTACTTTCAGTTGGAAGAAAGGAAAATACTTTGATCACATATACTCTCATATTTTTCAGAAAATAACCAAATTACTTTGTAATTGCATATCAATATACATATCATACAAAGCTAAATGACACATATCAATTTCAATCAAAAACAGATAACACCTATTCATGATAATTGAACTGCCTAACTTTGTAGAAAAATAGATACAAATCTGACTAGTATACAATCTATCAAAACAATACAGCTCTAATGCAAACATACACAAGTAAGGAAAGACATCATGTATTGGTTGCAGCTGGCAGGAAATACTGAAGTGTTACGTCATCATTTATGAGGAACATGTGGATTGTACGGTCTTCTACAATATCTATAAACATGAAATATAAACATTAATTACAAGAACAGATAATTGAAATAACATTCTTAATTCAATATATTCACAATAAAAAAATAACAAAGCCAAATAAGGAAGACGTAAGATGTGAAAAAAGGAAGAAATGTAGCAGTATTCTGTTCTCTTCCTTATGTTTTTTTCAGCATAAAAAAATATTAGTGATGAAAGCAGTGGCTCCCAACCTATTACAGACTCTATTCTACAACTGTCATTATCATTTCAGGAGCAGTTCTGAATAAATAAAGTGAGAGAGAACAAAGAAGAAAAAAGTAAAGAGAAATAGAAAGAAAAATGAGAAGAGAAAAAAAGGAGAATTATGAAAAGCAAACAGAACTGTATTATACTTACTGCATATAACTTTTGTAGGACCTCCCTGTTCTCCATGCAAAAAAAGTGCAAACTTCTTGATATCCACTGTGGCAGTATGCAGCTCTTCTGGTGCTGATTCCATGCTGTCCTCCTGACCCTCTGAAACCATCACATGGCTAATATCACACAGTTTTCTCATCAAGCCAGAGTCTGAGTATAAACACCAAATGACACTTTGTCTAAAAGTTGTCGAAAATTTGTATCCAAACTTCACAGCATACTTTGTTGGAAAAGAAAAACTATGTCTGAGCCCCCCGAGGAATCTATATTGTCTATGTTTTGTAAAAGTGGAATGAACTACAGCCTTAAATATTTTTTTATTCTCTTATACCTTATTTACTGTTATGTTGCTCATTTATATAAAAAAATGCCAACAAAAGTTATAAATGATTTTACTAGTCAACATACATGAATGATAAATACATATACACACATAAATATATTTCTAACCCTAATTAAATGCTGAAGGAAGAAAGGAAGAAAGAAGAAAACAGCCTTATAACATTCGAGAAAGATAATCAGATTACACAGCCTCTGCAAACCACAGAGCCTACTTTGCAACAAATTAAACCTAAATCATGCCACATTATCTCACTCCTGACTTACCCCAAACAGGCATAGGTAAATGTCTGAAATGAGTGGAAACTTTGACGGTGTCTGTGGTGACTCCAACCACCAGTGTCCCTCGTCTATTTGCCGATAAGGATACATAAGGGGACAGTGTTTTCATTCGTTCTATTACATGCTTCAGCTGACGGAGGGGAGGCAGGTAAACAGAAGCTTGGAACTGGGGCATTTCTGGCTCGTGGTATAGGTGCCACTGACGACGAGGAATCAGCTGCACTGGCACATCATGGACCACAAGCCTCGCATGTACAGAGAGTGACGGCTTTAGGGAAGAAGGAGAAGACATTAGTTGAGTCCATAGATGAAGTATAAGAAAAAAGGCAGATTATAAGAATACAAGACTTATTCTTAATAGCATTCTCTTTATATTTACAGACATAGGATTCTGCTTTTCATTAGCTTCACTTGCATTACACATAAAATGGGGGGAAAAAATCAAAATCAAGAGGTAAGCAGAAGAAAGGGATGATGATGATAATGGTAATGATGATGATAATGATAATGATGGTGGTGGTGATGATTAAGATCATCATCATCAAGTGAAAAATGTGTATTTCATTAAAAAATATAAATATACACATCATTGTTGCCTACCAATTCAGCCTCCAAGGTCAGACAAGGACTGTGTTTCCTGGTTAACTTGATCTTCACACTGCGGGCAGACTGGGACGACTTGAGGGAGTTTAAAGTTCTTGATAACTTATCTGCAATCATTATAGGCTAAACCATAATGCTAGAAGACTAGGCTGCAAGCCACTTTGTTCAAAAGTTGACTAAATACTTTCATGGTATTTACATATTAATATGGTACTCCTTGTCCATTGGAAAAAACTACTAAGCCCATGAAAATATTTGTTTTGTGTATGAAGAACAGTGTGTGTGTGTGTGTGTGTGTGTGTGTGTGTGTGTGTGTGTGTGTGTGTGTGTGTGTGTGTGTGTGTGTGTGTGTGTGTGTGTGTGTGTGTGTGTGTGTGTGTGTGTGTGTGTGTGTGTGTGTGTGTGTGTGTGTGTGTGTGTGTGTGTGTGTGTGTGTGTGTGTGTGTGTTTGCTTTAGCAAGTGACTGCTTGACACTGTGCTAATATTTTAAGCATCAAGACTGTTGATCTTCCAACAAAAGCAGTTTCAAGTGGATTTGAAAAGAAGACAGGTGACAGAATCATAAAAAAAATTACATTTGAAAAAGGTGCTTTAGCTACCTTTCTAAAATCTAAAAATCTAACTACCTCTTATTTAATATCTATTATTACAAATTACAAAAATTGAGGGCTCTACCCACCTGGCTGCAGCTCCAGATATATTTCATTGTTTTCCTCTGAAACTCCCTCCATGTTGAATTCATTGAAGAAATGGCCTTGGTCTAGCTCCGCCCACAGGCCAGGGCTACTGCCAACGGCACCTGCATCATTGATGATGAAGAATACCTTCTGTGGGGTGATGCGCAGGGTGCACACTTTGGCTAATCTTGCCACAGTGTTTACAACCACTGTAAAAAATAAAATTATATTAACATCTTTTAAATAGTGGAATAAAATGTGAAAATGTGTTTAACCTACTCTTCTGACCTTTTTTTCCTATTACTGGCTATTAGTAAAAATGAATCAAATTGAATTCCTTCACATAATATTTAGAACAGATATCAGTTTGACTGTTATCAGCATGATCTCATCTCAGGTTACCTTTAGCCGCCTGACGGAACTCTTTTCAATGAGTCGAAATACCCAAAGCTTACACATGAGCTAGTAGATTGGACATCAAATCTCTGGTAATATAGTTGGGAATTGTTTACTTTATGATCATATTAACTAAAGTTGGTAAAATGTAAATTAATAATCCTTACATTTTACTGGGCCCATTAACGTTATACTTTAGTCAACATACATGAACACTCATAATACAGGTATTCTGTTCTTAACTTTAGGAAATATGGGTTTAGAAAGAGACACAGTTAGTAATTACATACTTTTGTAAACACTTTAAATTATAAAATACTATGCATTGTACATTAATACTTCCTGCCTATCTGCACTCCAGCAACATCTAACAAACCGTGTATATTTTAGAAAGTCCTTTTTTGAAAGTCAATATAAGTGTGTCCTCTGCATTTTCCACAACTTATCAGTTTATTCCATAATAGCATCTTGAAAAGTTACAAAGTTACATGAGAATTAAATTTCAAAATCTTACTCAACATCAAAAGATTGACACCTTTATTTTTCTTCTTTTCGTCACATGATTTAAGCCATTTTACAGATTCAGAAAAAGCCTTACCCGTAAACTGCTTAATGCACATAATATCCGTCATTTTCCCTCTGAACTTCATCTTGAAATTAGTAAAATAAGGTGACAACTTTTGAGCAGGATGTTATTGTGTTTCTACGGATGGTTAAGGGGTCATATGTACAAAAACAACTGAATGATGCAATTTACTTGAAGATGAAATGGAAAGACTGACTCAGTAAAAGAAAACAGACAAAGTATCAAAATAAAGTACTTTCAAATAATTTTCTTATCTAAGCATCTGTTACATCTAGGATTTATAAGATATTATACACGCAATCCTTATAATTTACTAACACAATATCTCATGTACGATAACTATCTAGAATTTTATCATTGAGAGAAAATAAACTGTCCATTGATCTCAAATGATGTAGACTCAATGATTAGTACAGAAATAGGCATGCAATTCATTATAACTTATGGATGCTTATTTTAATCTGAATTAATGGAACAAATCACCTGATTGTCGATGATGATTTATTACCGAATCTCAACTAATTTCGGCAGCAACATAAAAAATCGGTATTCAGATTATTAAAGTATATATTACACATCATCAGCATCATTCAGTGTCCAATGAATATTCACATAAAGCTAGAAAGATAATAAAACAATAATACAACACTTTTATTTTTAGTGCGACATCTCCACAGAAAGTAAACATTGCAGCAGCCGAAGGAGTGGGAGCGAGGTGGAGACGCACGTGTGGCAGATCTACACTACAAGAACACTTATTAAGCCATTCTCACACGTCTGTTTGGTTTACGACAGGGGCCGTAAATGTCATTGACTCTGAGGACTTTTTTGAAGTATAGGTCATGATAGATCGACCGATGATGGACGTAAGTAGGCTACCACATCTGTTTTTTTCTTTCTTTCCGTCTAATGCCACCCCAACACGCTCATATCTTACATTATTGCCATACATTATTTAGTTTGGACTGCTGACACGGTCTTACTACCAGGTAGATTTGATATACAGGTTATGGCGCGCCCCCGTGAGGACATAGAATTTTATGCATAGCCACAGCAGGTGTTTGTGCAGTAATAAAAAAAAAAAAAAGGTAAAAGGAAGTGAAAAAAGTGGATGGAAGACTGGCTAGAGAAGATATCGCACCTGGACATGCGTGCAGAACTAAAACTCGAAAAGGACTGGTTCAATAATTTAAAAATGGACCAGGATGCACGTCTCCAATTACTGTCAATCATATGGCCGAGTATCATCAGCATAAAAACGCTCATGAGGAAATCAATTTCAGCCCATGAAAGACCAAAAGCCACACTAATGTTTCTTGCGACAGGACAGATATAGGATGAGCTCAAGTACACAACTTGAATTTCAACCCAGTTGTTGGGAAAGATTGTTCCAGAGACATGCAAGTCCATTTGGACTTCTCTTCAAGAGGAATATACGTGTATATCTGGAATTCGTTTCTACAACTACAAAGGAAGTTTCAGCATGGTGTTGATGGCCATTGTCAATAGCAATTATGAATTCATCATGATTAATTTTGGAATGAGTGGCAATGTATCAGATGAAGGTTTGACTGGGGAGGCTCAATTTTATCATTCACTCAGTGAAAAGTGTCAGCATATTCTACCATCAGACTTTCTTTCTGATTCCCTTATGTATTTATTGGTGTCAAAGCCTTTTCCTTGAGAAAAGATTTTCTATTACCTTTCATTCAGAAAACATTAGATCATCCTTAGAAGATATTTCACTACGGTATTACTTATAGGGTAGAGGTTGAAGACAGCGACGCGCGTAGATAGAGGGAAATGGACACTGCCATCTTATGGAGCGATATGCGATATAAAACTTTGAAATTGTTGTCATGACCTGCTGCATTCTGCACAAATGAATATAAAATTATAAGTGATAGACATGCAACGAAAAAACACAATACCGTGTTGATAATATGGAAGAAACCCACAATGTACAAACTAGATTTATTGATGAAAGTTTTCGGAAGAGGGTTTAAATATTAAAATCTATTACTTTACTGACATTCCAATTATAGTACTATGAAAGGAATATTTATTATACTTTTATAATAAATTTCTGCTTATTACATTTTGATTTATAACTTACTTGATTTATAACTTACCTTGTCAGGTGTCTTCTAAATATATATGGTATACATTTGATTATTCTTGCTCATATTATTTATATACTTACCGTATTTGTGACTTAAAAATTGATGGAGAAGCCAAAGGGTAATACCTAGTTTATTAGACCTTATTTTATGATATATGTTTGTCAATCAGTTCCTTATTATTTGTCTAGAATATCTCTTGGCAATTTGATTTCTTATATATAGTATTTAGATAGTGACATACCTTTAGTTTTTGCATTATTTTAATTTGACTTCCCCCCCCCCCCAGCTTACTGTTATTATTTTTGAAGTATTCCTTTTGTATGTATCAGGAACTGTAATTATCTCCAGAAACAGAAGAATGATAATATTGTTTTGCTTTCCTGGTCTATGGGGTTTTGCTTTATTCATGATATCATTCCCTCTCTGTTTAGTCAGAATTCTGTTTCGTTTGAATGTTATTTGAAGTGCTTATTTTACAGGATAATATCAGTGCAATTGTGGCATCGGATTTGCCTCGGGGAGTTGCATTACTGGCTGATCTGACAACAAACATCAAAAATGTTACTGTTGGACTCCTTGCATTAAAAGAAAAGATTGAAAATGATGAATTAAACTCCTCTAAGGTATGTACCATGTTGTTACAATTTTCTGGTCATAATTGAATAAGTCATATAGACAGACATAGACAGAGAGAGAGAGAGAGACAGACAAAGATGCATATATATATATATATATATATATATATATATATTATATATATTATATATATATATATATATATATATATATATATATATATATATATATATATATATATATATATATATATATATATATATATATATATATATATATATATATATATATATATATATATAATGTATGTATGTGTGTATGTATATATGTATGTAATATATGCATACATGTTAATGTCTAACATTTTGGTGGAAAAAAGTCTATAATGTTGGATAATTCTATATCTGGACTATATTAGATTGGCAATTCAATTTTGTTTTTAAGTGGTCTACAACAGTAATATGGCATTAAGCTTTGATGATGAATGATAAATTATATAATTAATTTATAGCCAAAAACTAACCTTTCCAACCTGACACTTTATTTCTTAAATGAATAATTAAATAGTTGTGATTGTATAGACCATTGTGTATATATACTACATATTATGCCTAATCTTTATAATTATATTCATAAATATGGTCTGTTCATTGCAAAATAATTTGCACCTAACATAATCACAGGACAACTTTTATGTACTGGCCTCGACCACAGCTTGGTAACAACATATTACAGGACAATCCATATAGGCCTTGTGTCTCAGCAGTGTTTATCAGATACATTTAAATTTATATCTAAATTCAGTATTTCTGATGAAATATTTAATGCAGTTGGGATTGTATGGCAACACTTACTTGGAAGGACAGTTGATGAAGAATATTGATAATTTTTTAAGCTAATGATTTTTATTTTTCTCATACATCTGGTAATAAATGCAATTTTTGTTGGTGATTGAACTTTTTCAGTGCAATTTATTCATGTTATCTCTTTCCAGTCATAATACCTCCTATGTTACAGCAATTCCTTCTGCACACCTTTTTTTCTTTTATGTTTACACTTCATATTCTTTCAGGGCCTGAGTCTACTAGAGCTCAAGAATCAATCTTTTTTGATGTATTTGTCCAATCTTGCCTATGTGACTCTTCGTAAACTACGCGGGGCAAAGTTAGAGAATGATCCATCTATTGGTAAGATTTTGTCTTCCTACTTTCAATCTCTATAAGAGTTTGAACTGAATATTTGTTACAACTAATAAGATTTTCATGTTCCACTGAGCTAATTGTATCACATCTACTGACTTTCATATTATGTTTGTCTAGAACTGATGATTTCCTAGTACAGGTAAAAAGGTACTCCTTTCAGTGAGGATTTCATACAGTGTATTTTATTGACATAGATGATTCTTATCTCATACTATACAATTTTTTTTAGAGTAATGGGCTTTTCTTGAATCTAATAGCTTCCTTCTTAATAAAATTAAACTATTTTGTCAGGTTTTGTATTTCAAGGTAAAGTTGCGGATAATCAGTTATTGTAAGACTTTTGGAACAATAGCATTAAGAGTTATTACAAGTCTGATCAGGCCTTTTCCTTATGCTAACTTAGCTCAATATTTATGTTTGGCATCTTTTCTTGCTTTAATGAGCCAAACTACATGATGATTGGCAAGGATACACACTGTATGTGGTCATCCTGCTTCAAGTTTTGTATGCCAAACTGTTTTTTGCTTATTTGGTTCTGTGCACTGTTGTTTTAACCCATTTATGAGAAGTGTCCCACATATGAGACACCCTGAAAAAAAAATTACCGGGCATTCCGCCAGTGTGACCCTGTATCGGGGCTCGCACTCTGACTCAGCAACAGGCAGAATCCAGGCCAGCCCCATGCGCCGATTTTGTAGCCGCCCGGAAACTTTTATTTTCGGCTTCAAAATATACCAGTGTTAGTGTGTTAAAAGCTACAGCTCCGCAAAAGTGGGGTTCAATCCTTGTTTTAATCTGAAGGGCAGAAAATTCTGTATTCTGCAGCCAAATTTGCACAATGCTTTTATATTTTTGCTTCAGCAGCTGACATCATACACCCTAGCATGTGGCTGTGGTTGGCACAGGAAAAACCTGTCAGATTTGGGTTAAGAAGACTTTTTTTGATGTAGAGGATCCTGTTATTATTATTTTTTTCCCACAATAAGTATGTCTTCATGCTAAGTGCTATTATAACATTTGATTTAGAAAAAATCTTTCTTCTGATTCCTCAATTATATCTGTTTTAATTAATTCTTCTGTTCTTTGAATGATCGACAGTTTCGTTCTCTTTTGAGGAACATGAAACTTTACTCTTGGTATTTTTTTCATTAACCCATGGCCATGTAAGACCTCTTGAAATCACTTTGTATAGCCACCCTAGAGGCCAGAAATCATGCCATCCAGTCATTTAGAATTATATTGGGTTTGAAATTGATTCTTGCTTCTTCCCTGAAAGGACTGACTACTAAACCTTTGTGAAAGCCGTTCTGACCCGATGGAATTGGGTTTAAATTTTGACCAATAATATCGATTTGAATCTATGGGAAAGAGCTCTTTTGTCTTTCATAACCAATACTGGATCTTTAGACTTTAATACCAATACCGAGTCCACTATACCCCAGTGGTCTTTAGAAAGTGGGTCCATCAAGAGTAAAGCTCTTGTAGCTTCAGGAACTTCCTTCGGAATCGATGCTTTCCTAAGCTCAATTCTAGTGCTAACTGCATTCTCTAATAGAGACTCTACCAAGGGGACAGCCATAGATGGTAATTCTTTATGGTTAACCATAAAACAAGTCAAAAATATTAATATGTCCTGTTGTGACAAAGAGTCTGCCTCTTCTATGATGGCCGTAGAACTATCTGCTAAAAGCTTTGAAAAGGCTTGAAAATTAACACCAAATAAAGCCATTTGTCTGGAAGTAACATCTTTATTAGAATGATCTGTCTAAGGGTTTTTAAGTTCATGAGGACACCCCTTGTTAGAAGCCCTTGGTTCAGAGAGAAAATCCGACTGTGATGCTTTTTCCTTCCACCATTCACTTAACTTCTGACAGTTTGGAACATATTAAAAAAAAATCCTGACACTAATAAGAATTTCTACAGTCAAACCTGCAAAAAGGAATTTTAGCAGAGTTCATCATGATGTTCAAATCTTTGATATTTAGATTTTGTAAAGGATCAACTTTCTGAACTTTTGTGAAGTCAACAGGTTGATTCTTTAATAGGAGGCCTTTACTATTGGGACCATTTACTTCATCAATTTCACTCACTGACATAGATCCAGATTTTGAGCGATGAGGTCTGGGAGAAGAATTACCCTAAAGTAGACACTGAAAATTATCATCAATAATTTTCCTTCTGGGGGAATGAGGGTTGTCCTCTTCATATATCCTAAAATCTTCTAAATCATCTGACTGAGGAGGTAACAAAGGGGCAATAAGATTGGACCATACAAGCTCCATAGAGATCTTAGACTATCAATTTATGCATTTTTCTTAAGAAAATTTTATGCTTATTGGATTCAAAATTTGGAGATCCTCCTTCCAACTGCATGAAGTGTAAGCAGTTGTCTCATACAAGTATCACAGTGGAGAGGTGTGAAAACTGCTTTTCTTTGTGGTGTTGATTTATCTAGTTGCAATGATTCACACAGAACTCATGGGATTTTAAGCTTTCAAAAGGCAGCCTTTGTTGATAGTTTTTAAAAATAATTTGGATCCAGGGTGAGCTCTGATCAATAGTGTGGAATAAAATGTAAGATAATACAACAGTAAGGTTGGAAGTTATTATGGTAATTGTTCATGTAGCTAATCAAATATAATTTATTTGTTATTAACTTTATGGTAGTGGTTATAGATGTTGATTTATTTATTTTTAACTTAACCCATTAACGCTGGTATGCTTTGAAGCCAAAAATAAAAGATTCCGGGTGGCTACAAAATCGGCGGGCAGAGCTTCCCCAGAGTCTGTCCGCCTACTGGCCGTGGCCCGTTGCTGCGTCGGAGCGCGAGTCCCGATGCAGCGTCACACTGGCAGGATGCCCGGCAATGTTTATTTTTACGGGTGTCTCATATGTGGGACACCTGTCGTGATTGGGTTAAGAAACTGAGCTTATGAATAGTGATATCGTAAAATTTTAGCAAGTTATTAAAAAATGTGTAAAAAGTTCTAAGACACTGAGAAACATATGGAGGCCATTATCATACTGTTTTTTTTATATTGTTATTACTACACACAAAATATATTAGTAACTTTTTTTTTCTTTCAGACCGTTTGGTTGAATTGAGAGTGGTTTTAGAAAGAATACGTCCTCTTGAAGATAAACTAAAATACCAAATTGATAAATTTTTGAAGGTAAGTTTTCCTCTATATAGCCATATGCAGAGTATAATAGTTTGCACTATTGCCAGAAAAGATCGAGAGAATAGTATTACAAAAACAAGGGATATAGAGTTAGCTCTTAAATATTGCTGATCTGTTATCACTGGTTTCATTTTGTCACAATTTCCCACTCTAGAAGGCCAAGGAATGCACCTTCTTTAAGGACTTCGGTTTCGGGAGTGAAGGACCATTAAGCAATAGGCGAATGGATTCCAATTCTAAACTGTGGCCATTGTTAGAACTCAAATCCACTTACTAAGAGACCCCTTTGGTCCCCAGTAATTTAAAATGCTATGAGACCCTTCACTGGAATGAAATCAATGACAGGTGGACAAAAAGTTTTAGAAAGAAAATTTTGATTGCAACGTTCCATGTATGTTTTCCCAATTATCCATGAACAGATAGCAACGGAAGGTGTCCTTAGTGAAGATGACCCAACCAGGTTAAAAGGGAACCTTGACAATATTGGGTCTTCTTCGGATGAGGAAGAAGACGAAGAAAACACAAATAGTGCTAAGAGTGCAACTAAGGAAGAAGACAAGACGTACAAGATTCCAAAAGTCAGCCAGACTCCTTATGGTAAGATGATTCTTTATGAAGCTTTGAGGGATAGGTTATTGTGCGTGCAGATCAACTGGCACTTGGTGCATTTCTTTTAATTGACACATTTGCATTTGCCAGTGATTTCCTTTCATAAATTATTGATTGGAGCCCATTTTCATGAGTGAGCAGTTACATGTTACATATGTATATGTATATGTATATGTATATGTATATGTATATTTATATGTATATTATATTTATATGTATATGTATATATATATATATATATATATATATATATATATATATATATATATATATATATATATATATTATATATATAATATATATATGCTATATGATATATATTATATTATATGTATATTTAATATTATATAATATATATATAACATATTTATATATATATATATAATATATATATATATATATATATATATATATATATATATATATATATGTATATTATATATATATATATATATATATATATATATATATATATATATATATATATATATATATATATATATATATATATCTATATCTATCTGTTGTCTATATTTACAAACATCTTCTATATCTAACTATATATATATATATATATATATATATATATATATAT